TGCTCTAGCACTAATCACATCTAGCACTTAGGCATGTTTGCATGCGTTTCGGTACCTTTTGGCATTTTTTCAGACAATACACTCCTCTCAAATGCACTCAAAAAAGTGATTTTTCTTTTTGCAGCCTCTAAATGTCCCTGCCTCTAAACTCCATGTCTGCATGAACATATAGGGGTTGATGTTTTAAAACTGGAGAGTGCAAAATCTAGTGCAGCTCGGCATAGAAATCAATCAGCTTCCAAGTTTCTTTGTCAAAGCTTAATTGAATAAGCTGAAGTAAGAAGCTGATTGGCTACCATGTACAGCTGCTCCAGATTTCACACTCTCCAGTTTTAGTAAGTCAACCACAAAGGCTAGCATGGTGGGGCATTTAGAGGCAGGAAAAAAACCATCAAACACCTGTAAACAAGCGTTTTTGAGCTCAAGTGTGCATGAGCCTTTATGAATAGCATTGCCTTTAATGTTTTTTCTTTCTGCACTTTAAAGCAATCCTTTTGTCTAAATGTGAGATTTAATGTCTTTGTTATGACCGAGAAAAAGACTAATAACTGATGGTTTAGATTCATATCTCTGACAAAAAATGTACTCTTTCACACTGGCCACTGCAGCAATTTTAATTCAGACTGCATAGTTTGACTGGAAGCATCACCTGTCAAACTCCTCCATTGAGATCAATGGGGCCAAACTGCAACTGTGAGCCAAATGTTTGATTGCAGTTGCAGCACGTTCCTGCAATGTGGAAATGTCATCCACCAATTTAAAAAAAGTTAAAAAAAAAAAAAAGGCATCAGGAGGCAGCAGTAACACCTCCCAAATACCTTCCAGCCTCTACTATAATGCCCTCTGAAAATCTATCCACCGTGGATCACTTTTCTGAGGGCTGTCAGCATTACCGCCTGTATGAAAAATCCCAAACAGAGCATGAGTAGGCTGGGTAGAGAACATACATTGATAAGAATATTTAGGGTAAGAAGGTCACGTTCAAACATACATTGAAAAATAAAATGCAAAAAATGCTATAGTACCAAGTATTGTTTTTTAATTCTGCATGCAGTCAGCCTTCAGACGCACTGACCAAATCACCACTGGAGTATTACTCTAATACAAATTATATAGATAAAATATTGTAAAGGAAAGAAAATATAGTAATAACAAAATACAAAATGAGAGGGGGAACCCATCTATAAAAATGTACACTCTAAAGAAAATCATAATTGAAAGGGGTGAATTTGTCCAGCGCACAGGATTACAACTACTATAAAGGGCAACTTACTGAAATCCAGAGTGAATTTCTGAAGAAGTTTTAGCTCCCCAGATGAAATGGGAGGTTCTGATCCTCTAACATCAGACAGCACTCACTTGTCAAAGGGCTTTCTCCCAAGAAAAACTTGTGTTCATGTGTTAAGTCAAATTCACAATATCATATTTAAAGTTGCCCTAATAACAGCCTATTGCGATTCATGGGCAGAAGAGCTCAGGCAGGAAGAGGGAGAAGACGCACCAGGAACTAACAGGGAAAATGCTGATGGGAGGAGAACACAGAGCTTACTAGTCTGCTGATTTTCTTTTCCATTCGCTGATAGGCATACAGAAGCCATGCATACAGTAGTTCACAGTCACTCGAGTCAGGGAACAGGCTATACATGTCTTTTTGTACTTTTATTTAGTTAAAAGGACTGGCATAGGGTGAGGGTGAGCCTTGGGATACTCCAATAAACTTCAACGAATGCTGGTATAGCACACTAAAAGTGATCTACTCCTTTAGGGTTAGGACACCCCCTTTAAAGTGAAGGTAAACTGGTAATAAACAGGAATTCCTCAACAGGAGTATAGTCCTGGATATAGTAAGAAAAAGCTCTTCTAAATGATGCTAAAGAAAGTCTCCAAGTCCAAGAGGCTGGTACTCACTGTGTCCTGAATACTGTGTTGCCGCCTGCAGTATCAGTCAGTTTCTGTACTAGATTTGCCTGTGTCCTGGATCCTTAGATGAGCTCTGTGACGGGAACCTAGCTCACTTTGGAGAGGTGGGGAGACCCCTCTCTCAGTTCCCCATATCCCTATTATGTGTAAGTCACCCTGTGCCTGTTAGGGGTACAGGGCAGGGTGATCTGTTCTAATATTGTGTAGACATGTCTAGGAGATAGGTGGGGTGGGGGTTGTGGATTGTTTGGTGTTATGTGATCGCATTCCATTGTTCTATTGTGTGTCTGGCTTGGGAGCAAACTATTATGGGATGTATGTGTTTGTGTATTAGCTTAGTGGGGGGGGGGGGGGGTGTCTCCAGCAGCCCTCCCTCTTGATGGGACTGTCTGCTAATGTGAAGTTTGAAATCTGTGTGTCTCTTGTAATTAAATGTAGATTGCCCTGCCCTGTGACATTATGCAGGGAGGCGCGATTTGTCCCTTGAGTGTATATATATTGTATCTGTGTTAAAATAAACTATTTTACTTTCTGGATTACTTCAAGACTCATGTCGTCTAGTCCTGTATGGTCGGCTGTGGTTGGTGTTTGGATGGGGAAGCGGTATTCTAACGGAAATACCCAAGCGCAGTCTGGGGTCAGTTCCGTTATAAGCTCACTGCAAATATTCAGAAGGCTAGACCATCGATTCCTCAGCCAAAATAGAACCTGGGACCCCAAAAAATATTCTCGCAGCTGCAGGTAGTCTCCCAGGGATGCCACAGGTTGGGTCTTACTCCCCAGGAACAAGAGAGCTCTGCTCTGGACCCCAACCTATTTATGCCCCTCTCATCCCCCTGCTGGTCACTCACTCCCCTTACCAGGGATTGGCTGAAGAGGCATTAATATGCAAGCCAGTGTCTAGGTTCTACCACCCACTATATTCAATAACTCAGTGGGATGCAGGGGAAAGTAACCGAGCCAGCACCAGCAGAAACATCATGAACTAACTTGGTGCTTCAGTGGTAACCAATCTACTGTTTTCTTTTACTCGCTTAAAGTATAACTAAAGCAAAATTTTTTGAGTTTTGGATGGAGTGAAGTTGGATTAGAACACCTGTCAGTTTTTATTACCACCTCTGCCCCTGTTAGGGAGATTCACCCCCTCTATTTGTCCTTTTTACCGTTATCATCAAAAGTAAAAGAAAATCCAAAATTTTGGGTTGTCCCCAGAACAGTAGTAAAAGTGAAATCTCCGGGGGGGGGGGTGGGGGGGGGGGGGGGGGGGGGTGCACCCACCAATGGGTTCACTCAATTTGCAGTTGTTTTGCTATGAGAAGCTGATTTCCGCTGCACAGGCAACTGTTGTGTAAAGAATTTGCTTTCCTTATTGACAAAAATTGGCTACTAGGCCTTCAAACTGAAAGTTTGGACTGACATATCTTACTATAATGCATCTACCATATTGAATCTAATCTCTACAAATCACAGTACATTGTCATAATAAATACCATCCCTTTAGCCTGGGTGTGCCAGAGCATGTGGTGATGCTTACAGAGTCCTCAGCTTTGGGAACAGGGGACCTGAAAAGAAGCAGCAGCTCCTTTCGAGTAAGCACTACATATATTAAACGAAAGGTATGACAACTATTTCCTTGGATTTGCTTTGCCCAAATGAACAAAGCAAGCATTTAGAGAATATAACTTGCTGTGTGCAAGGGTTTTATGATGAGGTGGGGCAGATGGAGCAGGTATGTTAGGGTGACCCATTATTTTCAAAAGACATAATAAATTCAAATGTGTACTGCTGTAGTCATATGACAGTGTGGCAAAACAGGCACATATGTGGCAGAACTACTTGACATTTTAAGATCTGGAAAATGTCTATAACGGCTGTATAGGCAAGTTATACGGTTAACTATGACGCTTTTAAAATCATATTTGCGCATGGCAAAATCTTAAAGTATATTTACGGTTTGAAAAAAAAAAAAAACCTGACATAACACACACACACACACACATATATATATATATATATATATATATATATATATATATATATATATATACTTGATACACAAAACGATCTGCAATTTAAAATTATTTAAAAAAATTATGTTTACATGTCATTCTGCAGCCATTTTTCTGATTTTCTAATACTCTCAAAAGTAATTAAATACATTTCTCTTCCTTGCAAATCTGGAATTGCCCTCTTCTGTAATGAGCTCACTGCTTTAGACAAAACCTTATGTAAAGCTTTGAACCAAAAAGTGCCGTATATCTAGAGGGATGCTGGAGGTATGCAATATTTAAATCCTGGGAATCATCATGGGATCATAGAAGAAATACTCATTCACATAGCCTTCATTTCTGGCAAAGTTATGTCATGGTATATCTCAAAAAGCAGGTTATTTTTCTAACTTGGGCTTGCAATTTAAAGATCAATTTTAAAGATCCATATATTCTTATCTTTAACATTTTTGCGGCTGAGGAAATTTCTCAAGATAACCACATGCATACTTAGGTACTGTTGTAGGTCAACCAGATTTACAACATGGTTTACTGGTATCTGTGAAGATTCTCATTTATCCAGGTCATAGTATAGCAAGTAGTAGATAGTGACTTTCAACCGGACTTGCTTGGTAAGGTTAAAGACATATTCCTGATACTCATTAGAACTGAAGAAATGGCCTGGACTGTCTACAAAACATCTTCAATATTACAGAACAAATCTAGTTGAATAGGACTAACAACTGCTAGTTATGGTTGGTTGGTATAGATTGTTTCCTTCAATGTGAGCTTACATCAGCAAAGGTTTATTTCCCAAACAACGCATTATATAGCTAGTAAGGTAATATGACATAATGGCAACAACTGCTATCAATAGTAAGTGCACCTAGTTCCCTACATACAGTTCATTGTGAGTTTGTAAAATTGAGTCTGAGCTTTTGCTATTTGACCAGCAGGATGAAAACTGATGATTGACGTCGAAGATGAACCAAACCACAGTAACTGAATTTATCATCCTTGGTTTCTCAGCTTTTACTGATGTTTTACCTTCCATTCTTCCTGCTCTTCCTCTTCATTTACCTGGCCACTCTAATGGGCAATGGAGCAGTTGTTTACATACTACGCTCCGATCCAGGTCTTCATTCTCCTATGTATTTCTTTCTTTGTAACCTGTCCATCCTCGAGATAGTCTACTCATCTGTTACTATGCCAAAAATTCTTACCAACCTGTTATCCGAGGATAAAACAATACCTTTTTTATGTTGTGCAGTTCAGATGTTCTTTTTTCTAGCAATGGGGGCCACAGAGTGTCTTCTTCTGGCCGTTATGGCACTAGACCGTTTCACAGCCATCTGCCGACCTCTTTATTATAGCTTGGTTATGAGTGTTCAGAGGTGCTTCCACCTGGCAGCTTTTTCATGGTCATCTGGGCTTTTTCTCTCCTTGGGTCAGACAGCTTTTATCTTCAGCCTGACATTTTGTGGCCCAAATGTCATTGACCACTTCTTTTGTGACATACCTCCAGTCCTGAAGCTAGCATGCACTGAGACATACCTAAATGAAGTTGCAATTTTTAGCGCATGTGTGGCCATCCTTCTGACCCCATTTTTGCTCATTCTTGGATCTTACACCCAGATTATTTCAACATTACTGAGAATGAAATCAGTAGATAGCCACAGAAAAGCCTATTCTACCTGTGTGTCCCACCTGACTTCAGTGACACTCTTCTATGGTACTGCTTCCTTCATGTACCTTCGACCTCGGTCATTGTACTCTTTACATACTGATCGGTTCCTGGCTCTCTTCTACAGTGTGGTGACACCCATGTTAAACCCACTGATCTACACTTTAAGGAACCAAGAGGTGAAGGCATCACTGTTAAAGACCAGTAAACTAATTCACCTTTTTTGTGAAAAAAAGTGAAAATGTATCTATGGAGGAAACTGATTATTGCCTATTGCTATTATTTCCAGTATTTTGTGTCACACCTGGTATAATCCTATGTTCTTGGAGGGCTTCACTATGTAATTGTTAAAAGGAACTTATGCTTTGCTTATGTAGGACAAAGAAACATGTTCACTTGAAGGATTCTTTCAGATAGAGGACCAGGAGGGGGCAGTAAAACAGGCGACTGAGCAGCAGTTTTACCGTCAATGCCCACCCATCTGTCACAATACAGCTAGTCAGACCTGTCCACATGCCGTGACTGCAATGCTTGGCTTAGCAGACATGTCTCTTGGGCTGCAGCGTTGTACAAGCAGTACTGTCAAACTAACCTATTGAGTTCAAAGGGGCTGCACCACAATGGTGTGCAATACACACTATTGCAGTGCAGTAGTGCAGTATTACAGAGTTAAATCAGGCAGTAAGGAGGCAATATAATGCCTCCTTACTGCATGTCAAATGCCCTCTGAAAAATGTGAAAGATCTACTCTACTGGGCAGCTTATATTTACCTTACCTTCACTTCCCACCCTCTCCATTCACCCACAGCTGTCAGGGAAAGACATCCTGTATAACTTTAAGGCCTCCCTTAACCACCCATGTTAGCATAATGACCATCTCAATTTATGTGGAGTTAACGACAATAATGATTGTTTTGAAACTAACCCATGTTTTCAACTTGCTCCCCTTTGGTGGTCTTAAAGGGAAGGACAACTGTGATGGTTTTGGCAAAAACACATCACACACAAAATGAGAATATGATTTCAAAAACAGATTGTCTGAATGTGTATGTTAGGCTAGTGGGCTAGTCAATGAACATCAATGAGCAAAGAAAGCAAACCTTAGAGGGAGAAGGAAAAGGTAGCTGAGGTTCCTGTTGGCTTTCATCAGCACTGTGTCCTTAAACTTGAAAATCACGTAGAAGATCATTTTATAAAAAGGCAGTCAGTGCTAAAAGAGGAGAGGGTTGCTGGCAACTCAGATTATACACACCACCTGTTATAATAATGTGCAATAATATGCAGCAGCCAAACATCACACCTTATTCCCAAATATTGATCTGCAACATATCTTAAAATACTAATTGTATCAAAGTGCAAAGTACATACAACCAAAAATAACTACTGAACAAATGTATAAATTCATAGGTGTATAAATAAAATAAACTGAACACAAAAGTTAATCCAAGTGTCCTAATGTTTTATCTTCCACCACCAATAATGAGTATGACGGCCTGTAGCGTCTTCCAAAGGGTAAGTGCCACCACAGCTTCACCACTACACATTCAGCCGATAGTACTGCTGGAAGAATCAGCAGCTTATTGTGCTCAAACAGATGTTGAAATCTCAGTCTCCTTTCCTGGTCACCAAGCTCCAGTTTTTTGCAGAAAGCTCTGGTACCTGGATATCTGCCATTCTAGACCAGAAGCAGTGGTGTGACATCAGCACGTAAGCTCTTCCCTACACGTTTGGGCAAAGGCTCATTTTTGGGGGACTCTTCCGTGTCATATTTAAGTAACCTGGGATACCACGCCATAGAAGATCATACCAGTAATGACTGAAAAAAGAGTGGAGAAAAAGGCCACCACTAGCCCAAGGGGTTTTCTCATAAAACAAGAAAAAACAAATGACTTTAGGAATGCATTTGTTTTTTCTGCTGTTTGGTCACTGGTCCTCCGAACAAATGTAACAAGAAATAGAATTTACAGAGGAGAATCAGAAACATAGGGGGAGATTTACTGAGACAGGCTCACACAGAATCTGGTGCAGCTCTGCATAGTAACCAATCAGCTTCTAACTTCAACTTGTTCAGTTCAGCTTTGACAATAAAACCTGGAAGCTGATTGGTTTCTATGCACAGCTGCACCAGATTCTGTGAGCACCAGTTTTAGGGGGGGATTTACTAAAATTGGTGCACTCAGAATCTGGTGTGCAGCTGTGCATGGTAGCCAAAAATGTCTAACTTCATCTTGTTCAATTAAGCTTTGACAATAAAACCTGGCAGCTGATTGGTTTATATGAAGAGCTTCACCATATTTTGCACCATGCACAACCACCATGTTATTGCTAAAAACAGGTGTGTAGTTACAGGGGTTGCAATTGCTACCCAGCCACAGGCTCCAAGGAGTCTGTGCAACCCCTCCCCCCGTACACCTGAATAGGAGGAGCAGCAGCTTTTAGAGAAACCGATCCCCTCCATCTTCCTCTTGCAGCTGCTGAATGCCTGATTTTCCTCTCCTTCCTCCCACAGGCATTCAGCTTCTACAGGAGGAAGATGGAGGGAATTGATTCCTCTATTGGCTGCCGTGCCTCCTATCCAGCTTCCCTCTGCTGCCCCCAGGCCCCTGTGCTCTCTCTCAGCCCTCTGAACTCTCCACCCAATTTAGCATAGTGCTGTGCTGGGTTGTGTTCACTCAATGCACACATGGAGGAGAATTGTGAAAGCCTTCAGACAGCAGAATCTAAGTGTGAGGTACTGTATTCCAGTTCTGATACTGCCAGCTGAGACACTACTTGCTTCTTATCACAGGGTCCTGCTGCTTTCCGGGAGCTGACCACGGCTGTCTAGGGGGTGTGAGATGGGGAAACAGCTCTCATTGTTTGAACACTGATTGTGTGGAAGTAAATTAATGTTTTGACTGACATTCTGCGGTTTAGCCACAAGATGTCACTGTTTTTCTAACACAGCCTCAGACTGCATAGATATTTTTGTATATCATGAAGAGGTGGGGTTTTGCACACAGAGAGTTGGAGAGAACAGGAAGGAGAGGGAGAAGCCATGTTTTTGGAGCATGGTGAATAAGGGGCTGTGTGAGCTGACAATCTGATGACATCCAGGTGTGAAAGCGTCCCTAACCAGTAATGCTGATGAGATTGCTGTCAGGAATGCTGATGAGATTGCTGTCAGGAATGCTGATGAGATTGCTGTCAGGGCTAATGCTGAGAGATTGCTGCCAGGAATGCTGATGAGATTGCTGCCAGGAATGCTGATGAGATTGCTGCCAGGAATGCTGATGAGATTGCTGCCAGGAAGGCTGATGAGAGCAGAGGAACTAAGCAACATATATGGCAAGACAGCATGCTTGTTGGAGAGACATTTGTTCTGGTCAGAGTCACCAGCGGATACAAAGCAGACTTGGGTCGGTAAGATCGTGCACGCACCTCATTTCAGTGTTGGCACCTTGAGACTGAGTCCAGGCCTATAGTTAGTTATGGTCTCTGTTTGTGTCAGGCCACAAGTGTTGTTACTGATTATTGGAAGGACTCCACAACTTTAAGTGACATTTCACATTGGAGAGCTGATAAAATCCTACAAACTCATGCCAGACTGGCGTTTTGCTCAGAAGGAATACTCGGGCACGTGCTACAGGACCAGTTATGGGAGAGGGAATACTGTAGATTTGTGTAAGATTGTAAGCTGTTGTGCTGCACCGCAGGCTAGCCCATACCATACACCCATACACTGATTCCTGCTCTTTTAGGGTAATAACAGGTAAGGTAAGGTGTGGCAGCTTATTTGTGCCCGCCAGTAGGTAAATTACTTCATTTTCTACCTTCATCCATCAGAAGGCGCCGTGCTGTGCAGCACAAGGGTCTCAGCCTTTGGGCTGAGTGTATGTAAATATATTGTATGTTTCCAGTAGAGATGAGCGAATCGAACATGACGAAGTGGAATTCGTTTCGAAGATTAGGAAAATTTAGATTCGCGCCGAATCCGAAAATTAGCAAACTTCGGACGCACGAATCGAATTTTCCCAAAAATGGCGGCGACATGTGTGGCGACGGAGCGGGATCTCTGGGAAGGCGCGCAGACAAGGCGCGCTGACCCATAATGCATTAATTCATGACATGTGATCGCATTAGCCAATCAGCAGCCAGCCAGCCAGCACTGTGTAATGGTGGAGCTATAAATTGCGGCCATCTTAGAATTCTCCATTAGCCTCCGGTCATTCAAGAGACACAGACCTGTGTGTATTAGGGACAGAGTTAGGGCCACAGAGACTTTAGGGCCACAGACTTGTTACTTTGTTTATTACTCAGGGACACAGAATTGTTACTCAGGGACACAGAATTGTTACTCAGGGACACAGAATTGTTACTCAGAAAGAAAGACACAGAATTGTTACTCAGGGACACAGAATTGTTACTCCAGGGACAGGGAACAGAATTGTTACTGAGGGACACAGAATCGTTACTGAGGGACACAGAATTGTTACTCAGGGAGGAACACAGAATTGTTACTCAGGGACACAGAATTGTTACTCAGGGGACACAGAATTGTTACTGAGGGACACAGAATCGTTACTGAGGGACACACAGAGAATTGTTATGTTACTCAGGGACACAGAATTGTTACTGAGGGACACAGAATCGTTATTCAGGGACACAGAATTGTTACTCAGGACACAGAATTGTTACTCAGGGACACAGAATTGTTACTCAGAGAACAGAATTGTTACTCAGGGACACAGAATTGTTACTGAGGGACACAGAATCGTTACTGAGGGACACAGAATCGTTACTGAGGGACACAGAATTGTTATTCTGAGGGCACAAGATTTGTTACTTCAGGGACACAAATTGTTACTCAGGGACACTACAGGTATTGTTACTGTCAGGGACACAGAATTGTTACTCAGAGAAAGACACAGAATTGTTACTCAGGACACAGAATTGTTACTCAGGGACACAGAATTGTTACTGAGGGACACAGAATCGTTACTGAGGGACACAGAAATCGTTACTCAGGGACACAGATTTGTTACTCAGGGACACAGAATTGTTACTCAGGGACACAGGAATTGTTTACTCTGGGGACAGACACAGAATTGTTAGCTCAGAGGACACCAGAATTGTTACTCAGGGACACCGAAATGTTAGCTGAGGGACACAGAATCGTCTACTGAGGGACACAGAATAGCATCTACTCAGGGAACACTACGAAAATTTTTTGTTACTCAGGAGACCACAGGAATTGTTT